AAAGAATATGATAAATAAGAATTTAATATATACATATTTTGTGTTTGAAAGTAGCTTTTGGAACTAACAGTACATCGGATATATGTATTCAATCTATTTTGTTCGAGGTGACAAAGGACCGGATGTTGAATTTTTCCACAATTATATGTTTAGACCTTACGTTTCCATTGAATTTCACATAGCCTTGCTTCCCAAAAGGTATTCTCATTCACGTTTAAACCTCTCCTGAACTAGTCTCATCAGCACCCTCAGCGGGACTCGAACCTTGAAAATGCAGCGAGTAATCTCGACACATTAACCACTATGCCACATGTGTCCCTAGACACAGGGCTGATGGGAATTGCAGGCAAGACCAGGCATTTTCCCATATCAAATTATTTGATAGAATCGTCGACGAAGCAAAGTTATATTTGCCATAACAATCGACGACTACTTATTTTTAATTTGTAAGTAGGTTTTCGAGACTACTATTAAAATTTTGCAGTCTCGAAAACCAACTTAGAAAACAAAAACAAATAATGTCGTCGTTTTCTATATAACTTTGCTTTATCGACAATCCCACCAAAGAATGTTTTATAGGAAAATGCCAAACCATTATTGAAATTTGCATATGCCCTGTGACCCAATGACACTTGTAGAAATGTTGCATTTTGGTTAACATGTCGAGATTATAGGCTGTATTGTCATGGTTATAGTATTGCTGGGGTTGCTTGTGAGGCCTAGGCGAGGCCAAAACTTCAATCTACTCCAGTCTGGATGAGAATACCCTTTGGGAAAGTGAGGCTATTTGAAATTCAATGGAAACTTAAGCTCTACTCATATTATTGTGGTAAAATTCAACCAACAGTCCTTCATCACCTTAAACGAAATTGTGTGAATGTATCTCAGTATATTTACGGCATTTGGCCAAGAAAGGTTGGATTCTTCCAATACAAAAATGTAAGATGAGCGAGGCCTGGTTTGCCTTGAACTTTACGTCTGCCTTGTTGTACACTTGTACCCAAAGCGATGTTGAGCGATAATACCAGGTCCGATGCCTACGGGGGGGTTAAAGAAGGTCAGGCGAGGTAGAGACTGTAGTACAGTTC